AATATATATGTATATATGATATAAAGGATGAGTAGTGCACAATCTACAAATAATAATAAAATATACACTATTCTTTATTGTAAATTCCATATGTCCGATTGATTCTAACTGAATGCTTTTGTAGGTTTTTGACAAAATCTTACATCCTTGGCCAACCTGTGGTTGCAATTCAACCATGATTTGACAAACGGAGTTGCCTTCCAGTCTGCTAATTCTTTTCCTAATAAATTTATTGTCATTAAATCCGATATGTTGATCTACCATTAAACTATTTCTTATGCTTGTACAAGTTATATTCGTTAAATAGAAATCTCGGGGCTGGTCCAGTGGCCAAGTGGTTAAGTTCACGTGCTCTGCTTCCGTGGCCCAGGGTTTCACCGGTTCGGATCCTGGGCACGGACATGGCACTGCTTGTCAGGCCACGCTGAGGTGGCGTCCCACATGCCACAACTAGAAGGACCCACAACTAAAATATACAACTATGTACTGGGGGGCTTTGGGGAGAAAAAGCAGAAAAAAAAAAAAAAAAGAAGATTGGCAACAGATGTTAGCTCAGGTGTCAGGCTTCAAAAAAAAAAAAGAAAAAAACCCAGAAATCTTTTCGAGCTTCAGTGCTACTGATTGCAATGTGCTGATGATCTTCACATAGTTGCAGGAATTAGAGCATTGTTTGAATCTGCATTATTTGATAATGGCTGTATTTGACAACTGGCTCCAAAAAGTCCAGAAAATTTAGCAATCGACTCATTGCCCATTGCCAGTATGGGCCAGCTCCGGTACACCACTAAGAAAGTCCCATGGGGCCAGCCCAGTGGCGCAGTGGTTAAGTTCGCGCATTCTGCTTCTCGGTGGCCCAGGGTTCGCCGGTTCGGATCCCAGGTGTGGACATGGCACCGCTTGGCACGCCATGCTGTGGTAGGCATCCCACATATAAAGTAGAGGAAGATGGGCATGATGTTAGCTCAGGGCCAGGCTTCCTCAGCAAAAAGAGAGGGACTGGCAGTAGTTAGCTCAGGGCTAATCTTCCTCAAAAAAAAAAAGAAAGTGTCCCAGTTCTAACAATAAATGGGATCGTCACCTATCTTTTAGAAGAATGATTCTAACCCTCTCTCCATAACTGTGATGTTGGTGACTGTCACGTTACGTTCTTAAGGAACCAGACGAGAGGAGGCACAGAGGACATGGCTGTGGGACTCAGAGCTCTGCATCCGTCTGTGACCCGGGACCTGGGTTACCCGGACTCTCCCACTTAAACCGCTCCTCGATGGTGAACAGACAGGGACACTGAAGGACGTCTTAGGAGATGCTGGCCTGTGAGTTAAGTGGACTCGTGCGATTTTCTAAGTGCTCCAGCTTTTCTACTTCTCACGACCAAGGAGAAGATGTTCTTACAACTTCCCTGTACCTGGGCAGAATCTGACTCTGTCTTTACAAAACTCAGTTTCTTTCACATTTTTAGAAGCTTCGCTATGCAGGAAAAAGTGAATCCTGGCTTGGACACTTTTGTGAGTAAGTTACGCAGTCTCTCTCTAAATCCCCACATTCTTGGCTATAAAATGGAAATAACAAGGATGCTAACACTTAATGCCCATGACTGCATTAAGTACTGTTTAAATGAGATAATATACATGAGGGAATCCTTATAAACTACAAAGAGAAGGCACTATTGTGTTATGCTGTTTAAATTTACTAGGTTTTAAAAGTAGTGGCATCAGTAAGGACAGCCAACAGGGCTCCAGCTGAAAGTCACACGGAAGCCACGTGGGAGCAGTGAGAACTGGGTCTCTGTTATGTTTGAAATTTCCTGTTCATGATGAGGACACAGCAGAGATACAAACACTTGAGATTTTTTTTTTAACTCCAAATTTCAAAACAAAAGCTTAATTTTCTCCAAGCTATTTTTTCCAATTATTTTAGAAAGATGAATAACGTTCAAAATAGTTCCATAATGTTACCCGCCTTTACATTTCCAGACAATTTCCGATTCAACAGTTTTTCATTGGGCACATCCCCGGTGTCAGACACCGTGCCAGGCTCAGGGGACTCCTACCCTTGAAAAGTTCTGAGTAAGTCACTTTCTAAAAACTATGAACATGAAGATTTTTATGTAAATCACTACTCATGTCAGCATCTCATTTCTGAGTGCTCAAATGTAACAATACTGTCACGCAAGTTCTAAAACAAACTGGTTGGTGAGGGGAACTCCTCCAGCAATAAGGAGATTCACGGGGACATAAAAGGAAGATGCCCCATCCCCATGGACCAGAGCTCCCGTCTGCAGGAGTCTACGCTCGTGGATATGAAGCCCCAGGAGAGGTATGCTTCTGGAAGGAGTGGTCGGAAGATAGAGTGGGTGACACAAGTCTCGTGAAGCCAAAGCTTGTATTCAGTGTTTTGGCCGGGCTCTTCATCAGCTTGCTTAATCCTCTGTCCAAAATTGAAAGCCGTCGTCCACTTGACGGAAGCTAGAAACAGAAACCAGAAAACCAGTAACTTTGTTTAACTAACTATACAACATTAATGGACTATAAGCTGATAAAAGCAAAAAGCCTCCTTAACATTCTACATATTATAGCTCAATTTGAAATAAATGAAAAACATTTAGGAGGTTTATAATTGTTTTCTAAATAAATAGACATTCTCTAATGAAGAGGCCACATTTAACTTTTTTTTTTTTTGAGGAAGTTTAGCCCTGAGCTAACATCTGTCCCCAATCCTCCTCTTTTTACTGAGGAAGACAGGCCCTGAGCTAACATCTGTGCCCATCTTCCTCTACTTCCTATGTGGGGTGCCTGCCACAGCATGGCTTGACAATCGGTGTGTAGGTCTGCGCCCGGGATCCGAACAGGTGGACCCTGGGCCCCCGAAGCCAAACGTGCGAACTTAACCACTACGCCACTGGTCCGGGCCCGTAACATACATTTTTAACTCTAAATCAATCAATGGTTACCAAAGTAAAGGTCACTTGGTGACTCACTTTTGGGAAGATTTTTTTGAGTGTTGTGTTACAGTCACCCATGGGAGAGGAATTTAGCCACGTGCTTCGTGAGTCTGGAAAAAATTCATAAACTTTGGTCCAGTAATTTTCTCTCTAGGAATCCAATCTGAGGTAGTAATCAGATAAATAGAAAAGATTTATGTACAGATATGTTTGCATTAGTGATATCTATTATAGCAAAAAATATTGGTTCTAAAATTAGGTTAATAGAACTGAATATTGAGAAACTGTTAAACATCATGTTTTCAAAACAATGTTTTGGGAATGTACACTACAATGTTTACAAAAATAAATAGGATGTAAAACTATGTTTATAATAAAACATCATATGCAAGATACATAATATATTTATTATATAATATATTTAATAATACATATATGATATATATAATACACATATCACAGAAAAAATTGGAAGGAAATACACTAAAAATACTAAAAGTAATTTTCCCTAGGTGGGGGGATTATGGGTAGTTTTTATTTTATTTTATTTTATTGCAGTAACATTGGATTATAACAATAAATAGCTTTCAGATGTGTATCGTAATATATGTCGAATTCTGTGTAGATTATATCCTGTTCACCACCCAAAAACTAATTATAGTCCATCCTCTCACATGTGAGCCTAATCACCCCTTTTTACCTTCCCCCCTTCCCCTATGGTAACCACCAATCCAATCTCCATTGCTATGTGTGTGTTTGTTGTTGTTTTTATCTTCTACTTGTGAGTGAGATCACAGGGTATTTGACTTTCTCCCTCTGACTTATTTCACTTAGCATAATACCCTCAATGACCATCTGTGTTGTCACAAATGGCTGGATTTCATCACTTCTTATGGCTGAGTAGTATTCCATTATGTATATATACCACTCTTCTTTATCCATTTGTCCGTTGATGGGCATCTAGGTTGCTTCCAAGTCTTGGCTATTGTGTATAATATTGCTTTTCTGTTCATTCGGGTTTCCCACATAAGACTAAAAATCTGCCAAGAAGAAAAGAATATGTTGGCCGGGCTGACACAAATGTTGTGCTCCCTATGACAAATGTACATCCAATTCTAAAATAATAAACTGACATTATTTTTAACATCTTAAGACAAATATTTAGTGGCAATAAAAAAAAAATACCACCATGATGAGAAGTTAGGCAAGTACAGAAACGTAAAAGAATCAGGGAAAGACTCATCCAGAATTCCACCAGTCAGAAGGAAACGCTGTTATTAAGATCCCCCAGTTGACTGAGTCGGCGGCTCTGAGCTGTGCCAGCGAGTGGGCTGTTTGCCGAGGAAGCATCTCAGGAGTTGTCACAGTGCAGAGCGGGGATGGGCGGTCACCCAGTCTGAGTGGGCACCAGACCAGAACCCTCTTCCCCGCTTCAGTCAACCATTTGCATACTAGACTTTCACCTAATATTCGACTTGAGAAAAGACTCTGTGGCGAAACAATTACAGAAATAGCCCTCGGACACCACCATCTTAAACCTCTTCTCTAAAGCTGAACGTTTAGGTTGTTTCCAGTTTTTCTCTAACATAATGGAAGGTGGAGTATCTTTGTATAGTGATCTTTGTCTGCATTTCTGCCTCTATGATTGAAATTCCAAGAAAACGATAACCATCATTTTCAAAGCTTTTGAGGTTGACAAATTGCCCACACAAAGGTCACCCTGTTTACACTCCCATCAGCCTGCCCATCGCACCACACCTTTGCTTGCACCGAGCATAATTTTTTTTTAAAAAGTAATCTTTGTTAATTTGATAGATTTAAATAAAATACAGTCCTTCATTGTACTTACCCATTTTGAAGACGGTGTTTTCTCCCCCTTGGGTACGTTTTCCAAGAGCTCTCCCATCAGAAAAATCCCTTGTGAAGAGGACGTGGGTGTCCCATCTCATTAAAGTGACAAGAGCTTGTGTTGGGTTTTCTTCTCACTGGGACCCAGGCCAGGTGCATGACTTGACCTTAGAGAGAGCCAAGCTTTTGGAACAGGCCTGTATGAGAAATGGCAGATGCCAAGGTCTGAAGTCCCTCCTCCTTCTCGAACACCCTCTAGAACCATAGAATCTCAGAACTGGAAGGTGCCCTTCAGGCCCCTGGCTACATAGACAAAGGCTCTGAGCGCTGGAGGGGAAGCAAGTGTACCAGTTATTGGTACAGCCAGGACCAAACCTGGGTGTCCTGGGAGTCTTAGTTCAGGGTTCCCACCACCACCAGCCTCCAGCTGCCTCCAATAACCATCAAACAGCAGCCAAGGTGAGCACTGCTCCTTCATCCTCTGTCCAAACACTCTCTAGGAAGGGTCTGTCATCATCATCTAGACTTAAGAACAACACACAAGGGTTCCCGACCTAGGGGGCGAGTGGCAGCTGAAGCCTAACTCAAGGGCAGGGGTAGAAGATAAAGGCAGAGAGAAAACAAATTGGGAGAGAGGCTCTCTCCCAAACTGGCGAGTTCTTAGAACCCAGCTTTAGAAGTCAGCATTCGAATGGCCACTAGGTGGAGCTCTATTTTCAAAATAAGGTCTCAATCCCTTAGCTCTGAACTGGTTTTCAGCTCAAACGGCCTTAACTTGAAAACATCAAAGGCTTGTTGCAAGGATTTGCTCACCAAATCCACTGGCTCTCATCCAGATTTTATGCCAATCTATAGTCTACAGTTTTTAGTGCCGCCATGAGCTAAACCTTTCCATTTCGGTTCCTTGATCATTGTCTGAAAAGTAAATACAACGGAGACATTTATAAATATTTAAAACAGAACCGGGGTTGCGGGGGGCGGAGGGTCGGGGGGGTTACAAAACGTGTATTTATCTCAGCAGCAGAAAATTTAAAATATGCATTTAAAATATATTCTAACATGAAATATATATTTTATATATTATACAAATAAAATGTAAAATACACACATATTTCTGTATAGTTGTATATAGTATACTTTTAAATATATTTTAACATAAAATATATATTTACTGCGTTTTATATATAATTATATATTTAAAATTCTTTCTGCATGTTAACTCCAATTACATATAAAATAACTATTAAATATATTCTATATCATATTTATATAAATACATTAAATATAATTTTTATTTAATAAAATATTTTAAATATATATTTAGAAGTCTCTCTGTTGCTGAGTGATAAGTCTATACTTTCTAACTCCTCTAGTTCTGTTTTCTCCGTAATAATCACCAAAATCTTGAAAAAACAGAATACGTAACCTTTTTATTGACCCATTCAAGAGTTTAATTCTATATTTCTCTAGTTTATATCAGTTCACATATAGTTGAAAATAGAAAAGAAAGGGGGGATTAAAATCGAAGGGAAACAGGCGTTCGCCGTGGTTCGTCGCTTCATTAGGACAGAAAGCACAGAGACTCTATTGTAGCTAAGAGGAGGAAAGGCTTTAAATAGTCTCAACCAAATGAGAAAATACAAAACTCCTCTTCTAATTTCTTTTAGTGCTGGTTCCTAACATACAGCTGATTGAGAAAAAAGCATATATTTAACAGTCATTATTTATGCTACCTTGAGGAAAATCATCTCAGTGTCTAACAAAAAATGATAATAAATTTTTTTATTTTAATGAGATCTAATCAGCAACCCTAAAATGCAACTTTTCTCAGCCTCCCAGGAAAGCACAAAGATTCACACCATCCCCCAAACTAGGCTTGACAGATAACCTCACGGAAAATACGGGCAGACGCCATTAATGATCCGGCAGGTAGAGCTGGGTGGAAGGCGCACCTACCACAGGCTCCTCCTCAAGCATAGCCAGGTTTCACCTCAGGAAACAGAGACCACTTCACAAAGGTCGGAAGATATTTCGTGCATCCTTGCAGTTCTGCCCCTCATTCCAGGACCCGGGATCTGAACAACCAATCACACCGGGGTTCCTCTTCACCGCAGCCACTCCCATCCATTCCCCTTTAATCCATGTTCATTCAGAGACAGGAACTTACACAAACAAAATCAAAAACCCTGTGCAGAAGGTAGAAGGAACTGGGGGTAGCTCATCACATTTTAGGAAAAACAGTCCCCACAAGTAAAGTTCTCTAAGAGAAGAGTGGGAAAGAAACCTGTTTAGCGGGATGTTAGAAACCTACGTTTTTCATGCGCTTCTTGGCCTCAGATACAGTATCAGAGAACCAATTAGATAAGGTAGAAGTGGGCAGTTTGGTAAAATAGAGCTTCCGTAGGTGAGTGTCTGCCAGAAATTGGGAACAGGATCTTGTATTGTCCACCTACCCTCCAGCTGTCGCTCTGAGAGTAAGATTCCACACAACTGGATGCGACCACAGACGATCAGCTCGCCCGAACTCTTAACAAATACCAGCTCTCCACAGATGTCACTTCACTTAAGGATGAATAAATAAGGAGGGAAAACCCTATGGGGAGAACTAATTTTAAAAGGCTACAAAAAATCGGAAAGGGATTTCATCTTGATGATCCAGAAGAATCATATCTCTAAAAATAATCTACAGTGGGATCCAGAAGACTCGACAACTGACATTCTCTATAGGATGTAAAAAGATGTAGTCTCTATTAAGCAAAAGCAAGAAAACCATAAGGAAAAAGTAAGTGGAGATGAAAATTGAGTAATGTAAGATAAACAAATGCTTTCAACAAGTACTTACTAAGAAACCATTATATGCCAAGCACTGTGCTCGACGTGGGGAATACAGAGATGAGTGAAACAGACATAATGCCACCTTTGTTGTAGCCTATACTTTGATGGGGTTCGTAGACAATACAATAATAAACAAATAACTTAAAATGTGATAATTGCTATTAAGAAAGTGAACAGGGTGCTGACTTAGAGTAACTGGGAGGGACCTACTCAGATAAAGTCACCAGGGAAGGCTTCTGTAAGGGGCGGTATTTAATCTGAGCCAGCTATGAAAAGAGCAAGTAAAGGGCATTACTAGCAGAGAAAGCAGCATGCTTTGAGGTAAAAAAAAGAGTTCTGCATGCTTGAGGAACTGAAAAAAGACCAGCGTGCCTGGTGAGTGGTAACAGGTGAGAAAACATAAGCAGTGGTCAGCTCACACAGGACCTTCACAGTGAGGAAAAGCACTGTGGATCTTAAGTACAAAAGGAAGTTATTGAGTGTGAATATATATGTATATGTGTGTGTATATGTATTTATATGTATCTATTTATATATAAATATTTACACATACACACATATATATACATACATTTAAATATATACACATAGTCAAGGGCTGCGTAATAACATTTTGGTCGACAATGGACCACATATACCATGGCGGTCTCATAAGATTGGTACCATATAGCCTGGATGTGTAGAAGGCCATACCATCTACCTTTGTACATGCTACGATGTTCACACAATGATGAAATCGCCTAACGACGCATGTCTCAGAACACATGCCCATCGTTATGCAGTGCATGGTTGTATATTAATTACTACTGTATAGAGAACAGACTAGAAAATACAATAGAGGAAGCAAAAAGACTCTCAATTCAGGGATGAGATGATGGTGTCTTGAACTGAAGTGATGGCAGTAAAGAGGGAGACAAATTGACAGTTTAAAGCAATATTTTGAAGGTTGAAACAACTGTGAATGGTTGATGAACTAGAGGAAGACATAAGGGACAGCAAAGGGTCAAGCATGATTCAGGTTTCTGGCTTGACAACACGGCAAATGGACACAAAAGGATAGTAAGAAAGACTAAACACCCAATAGCAGGGCCGGCCCCATGGCTGAGTGGTTAAGTTTGCACGCTCTGCTTCAGCGGCTGAGGGCTTCACCAGATCCCATCCTGGGCACGGACCTAGCACGGCTCGTCAAGGCATGCTGAGGTGGCGTCCCACATAGCACAACCAGAAGGATCTACAACTCGAATATGCAACTATGTATTGGGAGGTTTGGAGGAGAAGAAAAAAAGAGAGAGCGACAAGGTGGGCAACAGTGTTAGCTCAGGTGCCAATCTTAAAAAAATTTTTTTTAAAAACCCAATTGCAAAACTAAAACCACGTTGGAGGTAGTGAAGAGCAGAACTGAGGAGGCAGAAAATAGAAGGTCTGATGGGAGGACAAGCTTGAGAGAGTCTCCCAGAATGCAGAGCAAAAGGGAGCAGAGATTAAAGAGATGGCAAAGACGACAGAGAATATAGAACTAATAACTAGCATTTCTAAAGAAGAAACCAGAGCAGTTGAATAAAAGCGACAGTCAGATAAAAAACCAGTTTCCTGAAACGAACAATACCTAAGTCTAAAAATGTAAAAACCTGTCCTTCAACCAGGAAAATTAGAGTCCGACATCTGGATATTTCCTTGAGAAATGCTTGAATTTACAAAACAAATAATCAGATTTTTTTTAGGTTTCTGTAGAGAAAAATGCAAAATCAATGTGGCCTTAGACTTTTGCTCCAGAACGGTAATTACCAGAAGGCAACCGAACTACATCTAGGGGTTTGAAACATAACAAGTATGACTCAAGAATTCTACAGCAAGCCAACGTCGTTACTCATTTATGAAAACAACAAAATGATATGTTCACATCAGCAAGAACTAAGAAAATATACTCTCCACGTGTTCTTACCCACAAAAAAATTACTCCACTCCTCTCTAACAAGGGCTGACTTACGAATGAAAGAGTTGTGATATAGAAGGAATGAGTACAAATAGCTTTAATTTAGTCACAGAAATAAGTCTAAAAAGATGTGTTAAATATAATTTCAAAATAAAAAGTAAATGAAAGGTACATTATACTTGAAAGAAAAGTTATACAATAAAAAACATACTACTAATAAAAATTATATCTAAAATCCCAAATATCTACAAAAACTGGGACATGTCAGTAAAAGTTTTGACAGCAAGTGAGAATATTCTATCTGATTTGTTTTGGATAATTGCTATGAAGAAAATAAATAGGATGATGGTTTAGATAATAGCAGGAGGAACTACTTAGATGGAAATGCCAGGGATGATCTCTAAAGAACTACAGTTTCCTGACTCTTCTGGAGGCGGAGTGAAGATGCTCTGAGAGAACAAAGCATTTGTATGTTGATCTGTAGTGTTTATTATGTCCAGAATTGACCCAATTGGAATGATATGACATAGCTGGAACTCATAGCCAATACAGAAATAGGAATTAAAAGCACGTTATTTCTTAATTCAGCTTTAGCTGATAGATAGGTAGTTTAAGAAGATAGAGCAGGTAGCTTACTCTTCATGTTATAATCAAAAGAGCAACATTTAGTGAATATTTACAGAACCATTAGCACATCATTCAAGTTAAATCAACCCTTATTCTGTATCTTGTCCTCATAAAGCTGAACAGAATATCTGTTTATAAAGAGGAGCAGAGAGCTTTTCTGTAATATTGAAAAGTTTGTTTTCATAGTTTCAAGGGCAACTGGCTTGTAACCATTACACCATGAATATTTATTGCAGGAAACAACGTTGGTTTAAATTTTTTCTGTTGTAGAACATTGTTTGTTTACTTAAAATTGTAAACTATGGTGAGTTCAATATCCACTTAGTTCAAAGGTGGGAAAATTTTTTCTTTAAAGGGACGGATAATAAATATTTTCGGTTTTCCGTTCTGCCACTGTAGCATGAAAGCAGCAATAGAAAATACATAAATGAATGGGCACGTCTGTGTTCCAATAAAACTTTATTTAAAAAACAGGTAGCAGGCTGGGTTTGGCCAGGAACCATAGTGTGCTGGCCACTGAGTTAGATTCAGTCCTCTCAGTTTGTGGAACTTATTTCTCTAATGATTATCCGCCTTGCCCTGCCTCAGCCACTTTCATGATGGTACCCTGAGCCACACTCACGCCATTACTAATAACCGCCACCTCTCCATAACCCCCATTCATCTGCCCCGCTCAAGGACCACCATTTTATCTTTCCCACTTACTCCCTCTAGAACCCTGAGTCATGTAATCCTTCAACCTCAGCTTGTCCTTCCGCTCCCCTGATGTCCTCTGTCCTCCCTCCACAGCCCTTCATCGGGGCGGAAATCAGCATAATCTCCCCCTTGCATAAACCTTCAACTCCCTTGCCCTTCTGCTTCATCACTCACTTGGCAAACTTCAACCTAGTTACCTCCAACTCTCCACATACCGCACAGCTGACAGGGCCTGGAGAAAATTCCAAAGCCATGCCAACTGGCCTCATTTTAACTTATAACCATAAATCTCAAGAGGGCACTTTCTGTGCCATTTCCAGAATCCAGTCAACCTCCCACTCTGACTTCACACCTTCTCTCTCCATAAACCACCAGCACCTCCTCCACCACCATCACTCGCAGCCCGTGACAAGGCTTATCATTTCTCTGTAAGTTAGAAGCTGTCAGAATAAAAGTTCTGCAGACACCTGCCGGCCAGTCCCCACCTTGCCTGTACATGTTCCTACCTAGGGCTACTGCTTCACGTGTGTGCTAGATCCATGACCTCTTACCTACTTAAGGACACACTCCAGCAATTCCTCTCTCTCTCCAGGGTCTCTACTGAATGATTTCTTTGGGTATTCAAACAGCTGCTATTTCTCCTCTCATTCAGCTATCTATTTCTTTCTCTCTCTCTCTCTCTCATTCTGGGTGGTGGTGGGACCACGGGGCACGGCAGAAGACCCCACTCTGAGAAGGAAAAGCAGGTCAGGTAGAGTGAGATTGTCCTCCCCCAACGGGCAGGACCAGGGCAGAAGGAGATCAAAACTACAGCGTAGCCCCAAGGCTGCCCAGCCCCATCCCTCCAACTTTCCAGACAAGTGCTGAAAGAACAAGAAGTCCAACTGGTGCCAGCTGAGTTTATTTGAAAAGGCAAAGAGTTTAGTCTAGTTTCCAACAGCCCGGGGCCCATGCCCTGAGCCCAAGTCAGCCTGTGAGCAGAATTTAGATGCTTGTCAGGAAGGCCTATGCTTGCTCACTAAGCTTTTGAGTTGTGTTGTCCTTTCCCTTCTTGTTCTATCAAACGATCTTTATAAGAAATTCTTGATTGTCTTGACAGAAATCAGTGAAATTCCCACACTCGTGCTGGGATGGCTCAGATGATGCGAATGCTCGGTGAGGCCAGGCGTGGTGGCTGCAGGATCTGAGAGAACATAGGGTGCACCCAGGTGGGGAGTGGGATGAAAACAAAAGTGGGGCAGAGGAGGAGGAAGGGAAAGGCAGCAGCTTGGGTTGAGCTCCTTGCCCGGAGCTTGGCTCTCCCACGCTGGAAGGGAGGGGGGCCTCTCCATCCCCCACCAGAGTTCCAGGAGTCAATTTGCATATCGGCAGAGATGAGATGGGAGTCGGCTTGGTGCCTTGTGCATGGCATGGAGAGGCCTCTGGGAAGTTAGGAAGATGGAGCTGGTCTCTTAGAAAATGGCCCAGTGGGCAAGTTAACCATTGTCACATGCCCTTCCCCAAAACTTTGGGCATCCAATGCCCACAGACTCAAGGCTTCATGCCAACCTGAGCACCCTACCATGGGCCTGTCCTAACAATGCCCATGTTTCAGATTTTCCTAGATTCTCAACCCTCCCTCCAACTCTGGATTCCCTATTTTCTATGTATTCAGGGCCTGCTAGATATGGAACCACATTCTGATAAACTCACCACAGGGTCCAATGAAGTCTCGACTACTCTTTGTGTAAGATACTTGAAATTTTGCAGATCTGCCCAGTCTTGAGGACAAAACTGGATGCTGAGAATTTCTAGGTCATTTCCTCAGTGTTGGATGTTCACTAGCGGGTTTTAGTCAACCCACACAGAGGCTTTGCGACTGTCACATATAAATGTCACAAAAATAACACAAATGTACTTTCAACTTCAAGATGACCATTTGGGACCAGTAACCATAGTAACATCCAGAGGCACCCGGAAGAAGTGTGGTGGATTCCTCCAGCCCCTGACATGGGTTTCTTCATCTCTTACTTTCCCTCTCTTGCTTTTCTACTCTTTTTTTTTTTCCTCCCCTTTCTCCCTTTTTTCTTGATTCTTTCCTGCCCTCCACACTCTGGAATTATTTCTGGAAGACAGGTGCATGCCAGAATGTCAGCCCCAAGAGGGCAAAGAGGGGGTTTTCTGCTTTGTTCCCTGTGTCTAAGGCAGTGCCTAAAACTGTGCCAAGCACACAGTGGGAGCACTGTCTGGTGAATAAAGGAATGAATGAATGACGTATGTGGTCACCATCATCACATTTCTAATTCCCACCAGGGTTACAGGTCAAAGCCTATTGCTTTCTTAATGCCTCACATCGACAATGAGTAATTGTTTTCTAGAATCACACCCCTCCTCCAACAAAAAGTCTTCATTGAGATTAAATAAATATTGCCTTTGTGAATCTACGTTTTCAGGTACCATCCACTTCGCAGTCACTGCTGGACCAGAGCTTGCCTCTTGGGATGCTCCAGAGCTGGAAGGAGACCTTGGAGCTCATGCGGCTTCCTGCATGGGTTTCCATAGAGAATGTGACACACGACTGTGAAGACCATTTTGTTTTCTAGAGCTCTGTTTCCTCTTACTCCATCCCCATTCAGTCTGTGAAAATTGCCCAATGGAAACCCCACATTCTGCTCTTATCAGTGGCCGTTGTAAGTGTGGCTGTCACAAAATATGGCTGTCGTAAGGGCAGGGTGAGTCCCCCCTCCTCTCCCTCACAATTTAGATCAATTCTCCAAACATTCTGTGAACGCAGACTGTCCATGAGCTCCTTGGTCTGGTAACAGTACCTGACCAGATGCTCCACCAAGCACTTTCCATGCGTTCTCTCATTTGATCCTTATAAGAACCCCCGGAGACATGAACTGTTATTAGCCCATTTCACAGGTGAGGGAACTGAGGCTTACTCAGGTTAGATGACTTGCCCCACATTACAGATTTACTAAGTAGAGGAGTTAGGATGTGAACTCAAGTCTGCCTGGCACTAAAATTTATTCTCTTAACTTCCACAGAGAACTCCAGGTGAGGTGACAAGAATCAAGCACAGGTGCTTGGGTTTCGAACTCTCAGAAAGAGTCTTCGCCCTGGGCACATTTCAGAGAGCAGATGCCTCACTTGTGAACATCTTGCACATCGAAACTGCTGACAAAAATGTTTTTTGCTTCTGCACTTTTTGTTATAAGCATATAGTGAACCACCTATATTTAGCATAAATGGGCGTTTGTGAGTGGTCTTGGGAATCTAAATATAATGTATTTCGTTTCTAAATTACAAACAACCAACTTACAAGGGGAATTTTGGTCTTTAGCCTATTTATGAAATCAGGCACTTTCTGAACTAAAAAAGAGGAGGAAAGGAATGAGCATTTATTGAATGTTCATTATATACTACCCACTTTACAGAAGGATTCCATCTAATCCAGTAGCCCAAGGAGAAAGGCCTCTCCCTCATTTCACAGGTGAGGAAATGGAAGCTCGGACATAATGAGTGGCAGAATCAGGATTCGGACCAAGTTCCAGCTCCAAATCTGACTGTTTCCATGGTTCCTCTAGTTGGCTGGCATCCTCCCCACACTGAGCATCCTGGGGCCAGACTGAAAGTGGGCCATCTCCCTCCCAAGCACTCCCCTAGCAAGGAGGAATCCTGCGGCCGGGACGCCCAGCACAGTGCAACGCTGAATGTCAGCTGTATGTGTTTAGCGAGGCTGCTAAGACACTCAACACGAAGGGGACCACCTCGGGCCAGTGACCAAGAGTCTGTCCTTGACCAAACTCTAGCCAGGCTCCTCTGAGCCCTCTTCTCAACTAGTGCTCAACCTTGTCCCATAAAGACTTAAACAAAACACTAACATAGTTTTTAACAGCTCAAGACCGTATCCCTAGGATGACCCTAAACCCCACTTAAGGTATTGCCTGAGAAAACTCAAGGCTGCCGAAAGAACTGACTGTTCCAGCAACACTTGAAGACAGGGCCCCTGTCTCCCTGCCAGTGTGGGAGGGTAGGAGCCTAAGTGCCAGCTAGCAAACCCAGATGGGTTTCCCATGGACCAACCCCTGCCCCCATAGTTTGTAATTTTTCACTTCCCTGACTGTACGGAGCCCCTGGTCACCCCCCTCCCCATTCCTTCTTTCTTCCTTTAAAACACTCAGGTGCTTCTGTGCAAATCAAAGTTGAGTTCAGTTCACACTGGGCTCTTTTCCCTATTACAATGGTATGTTACTGATTAAAATCCGTCCTCACCACTTTCACGTCCAGCTTGGTTTATCTTTGACGCCAGTCAGCTGGGGCAGACAGCGCTGCCGCCCCAGTGACTGTCACTCTTAATACTCCACTGCCCCCCGCCTTGCTGCTAGCACCCCTGCCCCGCCCCCAACACTAGTCCTAGCAATCACACCAACTGGCCTCCACTTCCCCAGCCTCCTGATTCCTGCCTTTTTTTCACGTCTTCCTGGATTTCCACTTCTTGTTTCCAGAAGAAAAAGTAGGAGTCACCCAAGTTGGGCTGTGGTGTGAATTAGAGAAGTGTTTGGCCCAGATGGGTGTTCAGGCCACTGAAATAGCCCACCCGAGCCCTACTCCTTCAGATCCTACAGAGCAGTTTATTAAGGGGATTGGGAAAAAGCAGCACACTTTTTGGAGCTCAAGAACTGGATGCTGGAGAGAAAGGAGATGTTGCTGGGGACTCTGGCTGTTGCCTCTATGCTGCTGGAGCAGCCTCTGCAGGGGTCAGCGCCCACCACTAGGGAAGAGGAGGACTCCAGGGGAGAAGGAAGCAGAGCTCCTTGGCTCTTGGCCACCTTTCGGGGGAGGAATTCTTCAGGGCTGGCTTCTTCCCTTCAGTCTTTGCTGCCTGCTTTTCAAAACCACTTTGTGTATCTGCAGACGGGGCATCAACTGGGATTTCCATGGGAGTTGGGTAATTTCCAGATAGCTCACTGTTTCCTCCCAAGCTGGGCACAAGACCTGACACATCTAATGCTTTTAAGTTTTGTTAAGTCATTACTTTGCTTTGTGACGAGTGTTGAGGGCATAGCGCAGCATCTGAGCCGGGCTCTTCCTTGTGCATTTGGGCAAGTAGTTTGAGTCTCTAGACTAAAGTATGTTCATCTGTAATGTAATGTAATGTAATGTAAGATTCTTGGAGTTATGATATATAAAGTATCTTTAAACTTTAAAATAATATTTGAACACTCCACATTTTTATGTTTTTCTAGCACTATGCTGGGCAAACAGTGGTAGCCTGAGAAGTTGAATTATGGAGTGCTTACATATGAGTCTTGGAGAATTCTGGGACTCTTTCTCCCACTTTATGACCCATCTCCTTACAGTGTGGCATCAAAGGAAATATAAATCCAACTCCAAAAATAGATAGGGCAAAGTCACCATCCATCTCAGCAAAACTGCGTTCAATTCCACTAACCCCCAGTGTTCCTCTGCCGAAATTTCTCATCTTTCTTTCTCCCATCCCCCCTTCCCAAGGTTGTGAGCTATTCCCTCCCACCCAAGGGAACCTCTCTGCCTACACTAAACTTTTTCAATTCTGCAACCCTATACATTACCACTGAAAGGGAGGAGGAAGAGGATAAGGTCTTCCTATTCTTGTCTCTGTCATATATGAGTCTAAATGCCATGTAACAACATTTTCCCAAGAGATACAGTTTTACTTAAAGTGCTAGCAATATAGATCCTCGACCTTTCGACACAAAGTTCCTCTAGTTTCTCAAGGCATTTTAGGTCAGTGCCTTTCAAACATTAATGTGCATTGAAAATCTCCTGCAGATTCTGTTAGAAATGCAGATTCTGGGATAGGACCTGGGAGTCTGCATTTCTAATAAACTCCCAGGTGATGGCCTGTGCAGCCGATCCTTGGAGCTCACTTTGAGTGGCAGGGTTTAGATGACCTCATTTGTTCTATAATTCCCTTAGAAACGCTGCAGTGAAGTTATTAAAATTATTTTCATTGTTGCATTTCTCATTTTACAATGAGGCAACCTAAGGAATCCTGGCTGGCCTGTGATTTCACCTCCTCTTGGCTTGGAAGCCAGAGCTGGAGGTCTCTGGCCAGTGGATAGTGTGTTGGAGATGGTGCCACGTGGTGCCCTGTCTGAGATGGACAGAGACATGTTAACAGGAAACAGTAGTTGGGACATTTCTCTATGGGTCTTTCATGAATCAAAGATCTGGCTACTGTTTGAAAGAATGTCTTGAATGGGTTTGTTGGAAGATCCAAGGAACCACTGTTTAGGCCGGTTCTCAAATGTCATTGTAGCCTGAGGCAGGAGCAGTGTGAATGAGTTTTTTCAGTTGAAGAGAAAAGGCAAGAGTCTTGAAGTAACAGGGAGCCACTGGGCTAATCATTCAGCTGAATCTGCCCAGCTCTTGTTAGCATATCCTCCCTTACAGAGATGGACTGAAAAGGGAAGTTGGAGGATTCAGGCTATGGAAGGGACAGAATGACCTGGGGGCTGAGGGCTGGGGACTAGAAGTCTGATGTTCACTGGAGAACAAGACCCAAGAGTTGATGATCACACTGCTGGGCAGAGAACATTAGAAAGGGGAAAACATCAGCCAGTTGCTTTCTTAAACATTATTGTAAAGCAAACCATGTCATAACTGAAGGGACCTCAGAGACCTTCTGGTCCTAACCCTCCATTTGCAGATAAAGGAACATCCAGGAAGTTGGGGGACTTGCTCAAGGTCATACTACTAGTTGGGGCTTTTAGCTGGCTTTTGAACTCATGGTCCTGAGCTCTTCATGACTGAACGTGTTGTTTCTCACATTCATTAACACTAACACATGAAATTATGTATAAAAATATTGTTCCCAGGAATTAATTTCAACTCTATTTCTGAAACTATATAGGCAGTGACCAGGAAAAAGTCAGTGAAAGAGGTCATCGTCATGTCCCCCAGAGCCCAGCGTGGCACCTGTGGGCACAGTCTGAGGCTTGCTTAGATGTCCACACGTCTCTCTAATGGAGAACTGACTACATACCCATGAGCATATTTAATTCCCATAACAGTCCCTTAAGTAGAGAGTATTACTCCAGTTTTACAGATGGGGAAACTGAGGCTCAGAGTAAGTAAATTGCCATAGGTCATGCATCTGCTGAACTGGGATTCAGATCTGGGCCTGACTTCTCCAAAATCTTGTGCTTCTGCCACCCTCTGCCTAGTCCTTCACCCTGCTGTTCCCTCCTTGAGTGTGCCAGGAGCCCTCACCAGATGCTCTGGGAACAAGACTTGGTTTTCTTCAACACTGGGAGAAGGAGTGGAATCCAGGGGAAATGGTACCTGAAGCTTGCCTAGTGGGAGAGGCAAGATAGAGGGAGGACAAAGCAGGACAATCGACGGCAGAATGCTTGCTTGGTTTTCAACCTTCATTGTACGGTTTTTCCTCTCTGCTCTTGTTTCTATGAAGGGATCAATCAAGGTACTTTCCAGCAACTCTTCAGACTCTTGTTTTGATGAGCTGGAACAATAGTAGTTGTGTGGGTGGTGGGAGCCCCCTTTCTCACTTTTCTTTCCTTCTTTCCTGTCCTGACTCGAGGAGCAATAAGTCACCCATAAAACACCCCAAGAGTGTGGCAGGTCTGGGCAATACCCAGGTTTCTGCTACCATTTATGTGTAGTAACTACTCAAGGTTTCCTGCCCTTTAACAACATGTGTTGAGTGCTTGGGAGAAGAGCAGATAACTTCCATAACCCTCATATCTTTGCTCAACATTGACCATCAGATTGGACTTCTGTTCATGTCTGCAGTAAGGTAGTCAGCTCGAAAGCAGATTTCTATTGGGAGAGATATTTTTCTCAATTTTTTTAATAGGTCAAAAACCAAATTAGATGACCCACATTGTAGACCCAGACCATTTTTCCACGTAGATAGAGAAAATACCCCCATCCTTCAATGACAGGTAAGCTGGTTAGGCTACGATCCTTAGACAGAAGAAAGTTGTGACGTGGAGGAAATGGAGAGCCCAGAGCCTGTCCCCTCTGGAACTGAGGGGTTTCAGAAGAAAGGAAAGAGATAGATTAAGGAGGACAAACTCTGGGGTTTTGGTTTACCCCGTCTCTCAGGACCAAGTGTCCTGAGACCTCCCAAGGAAGGGAGGAACATTAGAAACACTGGATCACTGACAGGAGCCTGGAACCTCAGAACTGGCAGTCTACTTCTCTGGGCAGAGGAAGGGGAAGCTTCAGGTCCTCAGAGAATGCCAGCCTTCAGCCCCCCCGCACATCCAAGATGGCACAAGATAATGGCAAGTGGGTGACATAAACCTAAGGCAGGGCTTCTGGATGCACTGGGTCTACAGTGGCACACTGGAGTCCCAACAGTCCCAGGTGCCACAAGAAGGGAATACAGCCGTCTGAGAATGCCATCAGCCAACAGAGATCTCAGATCACTTCCGAAAAGCTTTGTAAGAATCCCGATATCAAGATCAGAAAAAGTGACCAGGTCCCCAGACTCTGGTGGGGGTGAAGCACATCACTCCAAAGGGCCAGATGAAGCCAGCAGCCCTTCAGAGGGACCAGTGCAGGAAGCTGCCCAACCCAGCCACTTTGTTGCACTGACTGGATATAGATAGTGGACACAAAATGGACCTAATCATCTTGTCTGCCATGCGATTGCGTGAGCCACACCTCTCCTCCATAACCAGGTGAACAAACTTCACTGGTTCACGCCTGTTGTCTGGAGATAATTATTAACTGTGCCCCTTTTCCCTCTCAAACGTGTCCTGAATTGATCTGACATGAGTGGCCATAAAATAAATATTATAGAATATGGTGCATATTGTGATTCCATTTATTAACTAGAAAAAAAATCACCTATATGTCTAAGATTTCTTGATGTTTGTACATCTGCAAAGAACATGTTTAGAAGGACACTGCTAACAGTGGTTCCCTGGAAATTGAGTGGAAACATGGAAAGTGTCATGCTATCTTTATATGCATGGCTTGTTGTACCAGGCATGTGTTTTTTTAAATGGAAAAAAAAAGCATCTCATTTGGAGGATGAATTATAATGGTCACCTTGAAGAGGAGCCAGGAAGGACAATGGAAACTGAGACAATGAGAGCCTGAGCATTTCTGCTAAAGGAACTGAGCATTTTTCCTACACTGAGACAGTTTATGTTACCACAAAAAGACTAAGTTCACCAGATCATTCTAAACATAGTTTAGTTTGTTTTTCCTATTACCCAATGGGTTTGGGCTCATGAGGAAAATCAGATCAGCCACAGGGAAGAAAAGTAAACTTTTTCTGTCCCCATCTAAGGATAAGGTGAGTAGTTTTGTGACCAGGCTACAGTTGAATCCTGACTACTAATTTTGAAAGGTTTGTTACTCATTTCTTCCAATAGACAGAAATTGCACTATTCTTTTGCGAGAGCATAACCTGCTTTATTTCTCATCTTAAGGTTTCACTCTTGGTTCACACTCAAGCCTATCACCAGTGCTAGATCCCAACAAATGAGAGTGCATAGCAGGTCACCGTGCGGCAGATGCGTCACAGGGTATGGCTATGATCCCCTCGGCCTTTGAGAGGTCAGGTAGGGCCGGGCAGCTGGAGCCCCCTGGGCAGTCACTTCTGGTCTGGAGAAGCCTCTCCATTGGCCCCAGGGCTTGGATACATATTATCATTTGCTGCATATGCCATGACATGAAACAGCTTGGGAAACACTCCTAAGCAAATGAGATCTTGTGAAGTATTGTGGTGTCAACAGAATCATTATTGCATCAAAATCTGAGAACACTCAGATAAAAGTTGCCCTACCTATGGGCTCCTGGGGACATTTTCATGCCTTCATGGCAGCAAGTAGACTTCAGAATCTACCTCTGGCCCTGTCCCTTCGTGGCCACAAAGGTAAGAATAAAGGGAGAGTCAGGGTCTGTAGAAGTTGGCAATTTGGGAACCCCTATGGAACAAACTCTTCTCTGGTTGCCTGCATTCCTCATTGCAGGAAGAGGATGTATTCATATAAGTCACTTGAGTTTTAGTATCGGGAGAGGAAAAGGGAAACTAACATTTATGGAGTTATGGAGAACCAAAAATATATACTCTCTACGTGCTGCACACTAGTCTCTCAACTAATCTTTCAACTACTCTGTGATATGCTATATGTCATCAATTTTAAGACACAGGATTTCCCCCCACAATTTAAAATCTCCGAAACTGAGAGCACCTTCAAATAAACAACCTCTTACAACCATTGTTTGCCAAGTAGAGGTCATGATCTAGTTATCATTGCCTAAAAATGCAAGAACATAAAAGTGTCAACACAAAACTTAGAATGACTTGGAGGAACGTCCTAGAAATAATAGTATAACCTGCTTTCAACCCCAGGAATCAAACGATTGTGAAGAGGAGGTGGGGAAGGCAGTGAAGCAGACGTGTTCAACAACATTTCTGAAGGAAGAGACGAAAGTTAGCTGATGCTACATAATTGTAAAGCCAGTTTGAGAGCCAGGCCAATGGTTTTGGTCTTCAATGGATTATTTTAAGAAATGCTGCATCACTAAGGTTTTTGATAGTAACGTCAAGAAAAATTATCCAGGGGCTGGCCCCATGGCTGGATGGTTAAGTTCGTGCACTCTGCTTCAGTGGCCCAGGGTTTTGCCGGTTTGGATCCTGGGCATGCGCCTAGCACTGCTCGTCAAGCCACGCTGAGGCAGCGTCCCACATAGCAGAGCCAGAAGGACCTACAACTAAAATCTACAACTATTTACTGGGGGGACTTTGGGGAGAAGAAGCAGCAAAAAAACAAAGAAGATCGGCAACAGATGTTAGCTCAGGTGCCAATCTTTAAAAAGAAAGAAAGAAAGAAAGAAAAATTACCCAAAACTTGGAAATAAGGCAAAGAGAGGTTGGCATGTCATTTCAATGTCGTATAGGTCATTCAATTGTCTAATGGAATGTACTTTTGTTTGACTTGCTAACTGCTACTGGGTAAAGATTCACAATTTGTGAAGTTACATGTTAACTTATAGGTTTTTGTCTGGTAGGGATGCAAATGATCTTTGTCTAATAGAAAAGATAACTCTGAAGGTACGTTTTATTGTCCTGTAGGACACTAAGCAGTTTTGTTTCTAATCTAGCAATCTTATTCCCACATACTTTTTCAATACCTATACAACCTTCGTTCCTGTCGTTCTCCTCTGAACCAGGTTTACCATCCTGCTGGTTCTCACATTAAGCTTTGACGGTTGTTATTCTATACTTGCATAAGAATCTTGTTTTTTTAACTTTTTGAAAAGCATATACTCCAACAATTATGGGGAAAAGTGATTCAAAAGAGACTCTGACTATGAAGAAGTTCACCAATTTATTTTACATTTACTTTCTTTTTAGGTGTACAAAAGGTGATTCTATATTCAAAATATAATTAAGTCCAAGAGAGAACTTACAGTAAATTTATAATAAAAATTCTAAGTGATAGGAAATTATCAAATTATCGTATCATAATTTAGTGGGCATTGGTACACAAAGGAGTCAAAGAAATGCAGATCCAACTGAAGCAGAAAAGGAAGTCAACTACAATCTGGGTGGGAATTGAGGAGGAACGCAAGATCTAAATATCTCAAACCCAAAGGTGTGGACCACTACACCCTACAATTTGAAGGGCATGGGCTATGGCGGCTATAAATTATTCTCCTGTGTCCCATTAACGTCATAGGATGGATCGGTACTACAGTCCGGGGGGCTGACGAGTAACCTTGAGCATCAACATAGAAAGCAGAATGGACATGGGTCAGGTTGACATACAGTTTCTTTATAGGGTAAATGCTTTTTAACACCAAGAAGATTTGGATTAATATGTAAACCAAATCCATCATTAATACCATTGTATTATATTTCAGGATAATCTGTGTTTACTTGGAATGTAATGTACTTATCGTATTAAAGATCATTTGCCCTATTGAAGGATCTAACTAATGAGCCTTGTGATTCCAATTTAAAATGTGCTTTTCAGTTATTTACACATATTAAACGGAAAGGAACAAGATTAATTATTTTATGTTTGAAAACAATATTGAGTCATTTCACAAACTTAACAAACTGCCTTATTTATATTTTGTTTCATCTGATTTTAAAAAGTTATTATAAAGTATTTGGAAAGGCTTTTCAGGCAGATGTGCTCAAAAAGGTGTCTTAATATGATAAGTTTACAAATGGAATTACAATGTTTGAGGGGATCCCATGATAAACTTAATTAGCCCCCTTAAATATTCTAAGTGTATTTCCCTATTTTTTAATATTCAGGTTTCTTCTTAAGTATTTCAATTGCTGATTGACAGACTTTCCCAAATAGTAAATATGATTGCTGTGAACGTACTTTACTAATAAATAAAATAAGATTTGGAAGTTGAACGTAAAAACTAGCTTATTTTTTAAATTTTGTAACTCCCATAAGTTGAATATTAATTTTTCAAACCAGATAGTCACTGAATAATCTTTTCTACACCCGGACACCCACATTAACTTTTTAGGGGGTGGGGGGTAGAGGAGGAGGATTGGCCCTGAGCCAATCTGTGCCAATCTTCCTCTATTTTGTATGTGACTTGCTGCCACCATATGGCTTGATGAGTGGTGTGTAGGTCCACACCTGGGATCCGAACCCACAAGCGCCAGGCCACCAAAGTGGAGCACATGAACTTAATCACTATGCCACTGGGCCAGCCCCCACGTTCACTTTTGAGTAGAGCAAGCCTGGTGCAGAGCAGGAAGACGGCCCAGCTCATCGTCACTTCCCCTTTCTGAACCTCCATCTGTACAATGCGTAGGTCCTCAATGAATGAGAGCTCTTCTAGTCTCTTCTTCCTTGTCCCTGCACAGTCTGATTTTTCTTTCAGTCCTAACGTTTCAAACACTGGGTGTCAGTATTGCTCAAAAGCACAGACCTATTCTCAGAGTCAGGATGTAAATTGTTTAAGTAAATCCATTGACAAATCATGCAAGAAAGCTTTTAAATGTCTTTGCAAGCTGAACGGCAGCAGCAAAGCCAATTGTTATTCAGATCCCTGAAGTTGGCGTGCAGGTTTCACGAGTTCTTCCACTCGACCCGGGCAAGTCTGCAGTTCTGTTAGGAACTTTCCAACCCCATCTGCCCTTTCTAGGCGCTTCCTTTCCATGCAAGGAACCACTTGTTATAAAACAATGGAGGGACTTTGAATTGCTGGTCCCCTTCATTAAGAGTAACTGCTCCCTGCAGGCCTAAAAGCAAGAGGGAGGGGAAGAGGATTTAAACACAGTAGAGGGAAAATGGACAATGAAAGAGATAAATTAAATTGATCACAGCTTATTATTAACAATGGCGGAAATAAATCGAACTCAATAAATTGAGGCTCTCAGCTTCTGGAACCCATCTGGGCACCTGACGTTCACCTGCAGCATCGGAAACGCTTCATCCTGTTGCTCCTCATTTTATGCTTCCTCTTCTCTATCCCCAAACGCAGGTAGAGACATGGATTTGTTTGGTTGGTTGATTGCTTATTGTAATTGCTTTAACCACAACTGCCCAGTGCTTAGGACTCAGATTATTCTCCACTTGGGGGTTTTCAAATTGGACTTTCTTCTGCCCCCTTATCTTATCTTGCTGCTCTTCCCCCACTCCACCAAAGGGAGAGCACAGTGCCGCTGGCAGCAGTGGGCAGTTAGAAATAAACAGTCATGTGTGACTCTGGCAAACTCTCTGGTCTGGTCGTTACCTCTTCTCTCTCTCTCTCTCCTCTTTCCCGCTCACCCCTTCTTTCTGTTCTCTCTTCTTTCTCTCTGTTCCTTTTTCATAAAGTGAAATCTATCTACTCCATGAAAGAGTTTCTCTGTGAGTAATTCTACCACTTAGTTTTCTAACATTCATTCTTGACTTTTGAGGGGGACTTTTGCCATTTTGTCTGACACTTCTCATGATTTAATGAACACGAACCACTTTCTCGATAAGCCAAAGAGAAAGGGGCTTGTGGGTGTTAACCACCTAGCATTGCCCTAGGAAGGCAGTATGGGGCTCGGTGCTCCATGGAGGAAATGAAGAGTTGAGTCTGGAATGCATGTTGTTATTCAGCAACTTGCAGGTGCCCTGCGCAGTTGGGGGTCACACTCTCTAGTCTGAAAAGATCTTCCAACAGGAGGAAGCCATTGTCCTTGGCCTGACCGAGTCCCCGCTGAAGAAGCTGGAGGAAGGAGACAAGACTGCCTTGCTGCTGGTCACACAACCAGTGAAGGATCAGATTCTCTGGGTACAGCTAGGCCAACTGCAGTTTGGGCCTGGACTCCAGAAGGGTCTGGAACGAGCAGAAGTTGATACTGATTCACCCTCAGCAGCATCGTAGCACTTTGCTTCCATGCTCCACCCAGCTGCCTGGCCAAGCTCTCCTCTTTGTCAGTTTCTGTGGCTCTTGGTCATTCCATCATCTCAGTGGGATCATTATTTCTATCACCCACATTGTTGTCTTTGGTGTTACGGAGCCTTTAGAAAGCCTTTTGGCTAGCATATTTTGGAATCTGACATCTCTGCTTTGGACCCATCAGTTGACTGGTATTTAATTACACACTGTTTGGTAATCTGCTTTTTCCCCTGGACAATTATGGTGGACATTTCCCTTCTGTTATTTAGTAGACTTCTAAATATTATTTCGACAGTTGTGTTGTAATCCATCACGAGATATCCCACGATGTATTCCTTCCTGTTGGACATTTAGGTTATTTCCAAATTTTCAGGACTCCAAATAATGCCTTGATAAGTATCAGTGTAGCAAAATCTTTGCAATCATTCTTTTAAATATTTTAAAAATACACATGTACTGAATGAACACATGCTCTTGGTAATAAAGCATTACAGATGTGAGTAAAGTCCCTATTAATAACCAGCTTTAATCTGGTCACAGTCATTGTTATAGAGATAACTACTGTTATTGGTTAATGCATGTCCTCCTCTTTTTTAAGGTGTTTGCATGTATTTTCATGGATCTAAGTAAAATATATAGTGCTGGATAGTTTTTATTTGTGAGGCTGGAAGTGGTGCACAGATGCTAACACGCTGTATACATATTCACTCAGCAGCGTATCTTAGAGGTGTTTCTATGTCAGCAGAGGAAGCTCTGCACCCCTCTCTGTAAGTGCTGCGTAGGATTCCACAACGAGGACAAACCCCTGCTTATTGAGCTATTTCCCCCTTGCCAGGTATTTGGGCTCTTTTTAGTTATTGGTAAGACAAGAAAGGCTGCATTAGATCTTTTCCTCCTGCACATGTGCAAATGTTTCTCTGGGAAGATTCAGAGAAGCAGAATGGTTGGATCATAGAGAAGTCACAGTGGTCTAATGGTTAAGGTCTGGTGTACCCACCGCCCCAGAAGCAGCCCAGGTTCAGTTCCCCAGTAAGGGAACCACACTGCCCATCTGTCTGTTGTCATACTGTGGTGGCTGTGTGTTGCTGGGATGCTGAAAGCTATGCCACTGGTATTTCACACACAAGCAGGGTCACCCGTGGTGGACAGGCTTCAGCAGAGCTTCTCGATTAGACAGACTAGGAAAAAGGAGCTGGCTGCCCACTCCCAAAATACTTGACCATGAAAACCTATGAATAGCAGCAGAGTGTTGTCTGATACAGTGCCAGAAAGTGAGAGGATGGCGCAAAAAGATTGGTCAGGGTTCCACTGTGCTGTACACAGGGGCGCTAGGAGTCGGAATCAACTCCATGCATTAACAACAACAAAGCGAAGGCACGTTTTTAATTTTAAAGGATCCTGTCAAATCTCCCATCAAAGTGGCTACACAAATAACACTTCCACTAGAGATCTGATGAGGGTGTGTGTGTCACTACAAGCCTGCCCATGTTTATGTGATAAAACTTGGAATTGTTGCCGCTCTGATTAAAAACAGTCTCTTGTATTTTATTTGCATTTCCCTGATTTCTAGTGAGATTAAGCATCTTTCCAAGTTGATTGGCTATGTTAGGTCACATTCCTGAAAGTTTAGTTGCTGGGTCAAATGACATGCAGTATATGTGTGTAAGTGCATCTCTATTTCTATATCTGTGTATCTATGCCTTGGGGTATGTATGTGTCTTTCTCTTTATTTATTTATTTTTTGCAGGGAAAGATTCACCCTGAGCTAACATCTGTTGCCAATCTTCCTCTTTTATTTTTTTGTCCCTGAAGCCCCAGTGCATGGTTGTATATCCTAGGTGTAAGTCTTTCTAGTTCTTCTATGTGAGCCTCTGCCACAGCACAGCTACTGACAGACGAGTGGTGTGGTTCTGTGACTGGGAGATGAACCTGGGCCACTGAAACAGTGACCCATCAGAGTTGGCTCTCTATCTCTTTAAAGGTTATATATATTTTTTTCCAACATGCCCTTCTGTAATAATTCAAGCAAATGTATGCTCTCACTACAGAATATATAACTCTATTTTTTCATACTCTCTACAGCATGGAGTTCTAAATCTTTTGGGGGTTTTTTTCTGAAAATTTGGAAGGTAAATATAGCAACTCATTTATTTTAAATTGTTTTCATTAAGAGTAAGATTGACTACTTTCTTACCATTTTTTGCACTTTATATTTCTTTTCTTTGTGAACGGTTTATTTCTTTATTTCTCCTATTTTTGTGTGGCGTTGTTCGTCTTTATTCCTGTGTGGATTTATAAGAACTCTTTATACACATTAAGAATGTTAACCTTGTGGCCAGCCTGGTGGCACAGTGGTTAAGTTAGCATATTCTGCTTCGACAGCCCAGGGTTTGCTGGTTCAGGTCCCAGGTGTGGACCTGTGCACCGCTTGTCAAGCCATGCTGTGGTAGGTGTCCCACATATAAGGTTGAGGAAGATGGGCATGAATGTTAGCTCAGGGTTAATCCTCCTCAAAAAAAAAAAAAAGAATGTTAACATACACCTGAGGGTTCAATAAGGTCCAGATAGTTCAATAAAAATTATATCCCTAACATATTAATACATAATATAAAAATATATATAATATGTAATAATATTCCTAATAATAGTATAAATTCCTCACAGTGTGGTAGCATGCTGCCGTGGAAGGGGCCCCTGGGAAAATCCACTTTGGGGACTACAGCCCCTCAAACAAATAAATGTAACTTTATAAGAAGACTGTCTTCCTCTGGTTTCCGTGCTGTCTTTCCATTTATAAAGCTGGCTGATAGAGCGTCGAGATAAAGCAGCAGAGTTTGAATGTTTGAGTGTGATTAGACTCCAGCTGTTCACTGTTAAAGGATCGGCAGGTGACTTATGCCAGGTCATCGCAGGTCCCGGATGCCTGGCCGTTGTGCACAGGAGCCAAGACCACACCAGCTTCAAGGGAGCAAGCAGGGCTTGAGGCCCCAGGGCTCCTCTGCCGTCCCACAGGCTGGAACGTGCAGCTGGAGGGGTCACTGAGGGCCTTAACTTCTCCCTTTTGGCAGGGCATCCTTCCATTCTCCCCATCAGAGAAAGTTCGCCTTGGCTCAACCTGTTTCTTGAAAGTCTGTGTTTTCTGGGTAAAAGCTCCCTCAGTGAGAAGAAGAACTCATCCTTGGTTTTATCTCCAGAACTAGAAAGCTAGTTGATAACAAAATAAACACACATAATGGACAGTATGGAATCTATACGTAAGGCTGACTCACAAGATTGGCTCACAGCACAGCCCCTAGCCTAGAATCATTCACAGCGGGTTCAAATCCCAGCTCTACTCTTACTGACACGCAGCTTTGACACAGGGCTCCACTTTCCAGACATCAACTTTCTCGTCTGTGAAATGGGAATCATATTATTCCTGCCTGAGGAAGGCAGAACAGCTGAATTAGTCCACCCATGGATTCTGGCCCAACAAGCATTTTATATGCAATAACTCTAATCATTATTTTTCCCTCTACTCTCAGAATAGAGACAGATCTCTGTGTGAATGACGCTTTCCGCAGTAGTAGGAAGGGGCATATTAGGGCGTATAAATTTCTTCTGAAACACCATAGTTATTAAGGAGCCTAGTATGGTTAGAAGGACTTTTCGTGTTTGTCCTGGATATGACATCAGGTTTTTCAAAAATCTCACTTCGGTTGAGGAGTCTGGCAACCATGGATTACCCAACAACGGTTACCATGGCTGCAAGGAGGAAGCAGAAAGAACCTCCCCACAGTGTTTACTGAAGGGAAGGGAGTCAATAGCTCCTGTGGTTAAGTGATGACTGTGCTTAGGTCCTTCAGACTCTAAGACAGAAATGACTGCAAAACTCATAGAAAAACACAGCCACCCCTTCCCAGGAGATCACAGAATGTACCTCAGCACACTGAGAGAAGTCGTTCCCGACTCCATCGACATGTCCCCCACAGAGAGACATGGCGAAGGCCTCCTTTCTTCCACGTCGTAGGGGATGTTCTGTCCTGAGTTTCACCATATTCTACAGTTGTGTTTACATTCTCAGCATTTTAGGAACACTTTTGCTCATGAAATAAAAGTGGCTGATTCCTACTGGCCCAGATTTCTGGATTAATTGTATAATTGTGGAAATGGAGGAAGAATTCATGAAGTCACTGGTGCCTCCCCAACCTGTATGGGGCTGTTTTCATTGATAGATGGTTATGATCTGTAAAAGGGGGATACTGATAGTTGTTAAAGGAGAATGAGCTTTAGTTGGGCAGATCTGGCTTTGAATTCTGTCTCTACTCCTTAGAGACTGTGTGACACAAGTTAATTATTTAGCATCTCTGAGCCTCAGATTTCTCATCTGCAAACTGAATATAACACTTATATTGAATATCACACTTATGTCACAGGATGTTGTGAGCATTAGAGATGGCATAAAGAAAACAGTGAGCCTGGTATGGGAATACAGTTGCCTTCCGTGGAAGGCTGAAAAATGACCCCCCAAAGATGTCCACGTCCTCAGCTCTGGAACCTGTGACTGTTGCCTTCTATGGCAAAAGGGACTTTTCAAGTGTGATTACGTCAAGAATCTTGAGGTGGGGAGATTATCCTGGATTAGCTGGGATGACCCACCACCAGGTGGGCCTGGTGTAATCACAAGGACCCTTATACGAGGAGGTAGGAGATCAGAATGAGCAGTGGAAGAAGGTGATGTGACCACAGAAGCAGAGGTTGAAGTGATGCAGCCAAGCCAGGGAATGCAGACAGCCTCCGGAAGCTGGAAGAGGCAGGGAACGGCTTCTCCCCTGGAGTCTCCAGAAGGAACCAATGCTGCCAACACCTTGGTTTTAGTCCCGTGAGACTCTTTTCAGATACTCTGACCTCCAGAACTGTAAAATAATAAATTTGTACTATTTCAAACTACTGGGTTTGTAGCAGTTTGTCACAGCAGCAACGGGAAACCAATACAACTTTCTACAAATGGCGGTTATGTTCACGACCAAGCACAATAATGTTTATTCAAAATGTGGAAAAAATTTTGAAAATTGTAAAGTACTGTGTGCAAATTATTATCATCAATGTTCCTGTCTTATTCTGCTTACATTTAAACCAAATCTGCTGCTTCTGAACTTTGTTTTTTAATATTTTCCTATTACTGTATCCATGGATGGCAAAGCCATACTTCCATCCTTTTTACCATTTTACAAGAAGATTTATATCTTAAGAGACAGTCCAGTATAGTCCTTGCCTCACAGGGATATAGACTATTGACCTCCCACCACTCATGGGTTTGTGTCACATAAGACACTCTAACTACTTGATCTGAGCACTAAGGGTGAAGAGCTAACGAGCAGGGAAAAGAAAACAAGGTACTCAAGTAGACAGTGGCAGAGACTGCCAGGAGTCTCCCAATATCCATTCTCTCCATATTCTATAAAGATTTTTATCTGGGCACATGGCCACCCAAATAGGCACGTCATTTCTCAGACTGCCTTGAAGGTAGGTATGGTCATTGA